GGGGGGGGGGGGGGGGGGGGGGGGCGGGAGCGTAGTGTCGGAAAAACGCAGCTTTCGGTGGCCCTACAGCTTTCAGAGTCTTGGCTGTTTCTCCAAGGTTCGCAGCCAGCTACGCCACTTTGACGAACTGGGCACCAGCTTTGTTCAAGGTGTCAGGCAGTGTCAGGGTTCAGGTTGCTCGGCTGTGCGCATAAACCAGGCTCTGGAAGTCTTCTTCACTACATGGCCTGTGCATAAGAGGTATCTGGCATTCAGAGCCTGGTCGGAGATGGGATTCCACAAGCTGCGGCATCCTGCGGCTGTGTCAGTGATTTATGCGTTCCTCTCTGTGTCAGCTGATTGTAAAGTCTTCTGTCGAGATACTACAGAGCCAATATATGTTTCTGCAAGCTGCTTGTTCGGCCCTGTCCCCGAGGCAAGCACTTCGCGGCCTACTCTTTTGAAGGCGGTCCTACGCAACTTAACAAGACAGAGCACATGCGCGACTTCATCCCGGGTGCTTCCAATGTCAGCCGGCACAACGAGACCCGAGTCTGCACCAGAAGCTCTCAGAAGGGTGTAGGCCATAGATGGTGTGTTTCTTGCAGCCTCTTGGCTTCATAGCTTTACCTCAGTTCAGTTCACCTTCACATCAGGAATGCCGTGGTCTCGCCGCAGGACCTGACAGAGTCTTACTTTCCAGCCTTTGAGGTGCGTAGACTCGTAGAGCGCCACTTGCACCGCATGCACGCCGAAGTCCGGACGGAGCCTTTTCACGCCTGGGGTGGAGGCCTGTGCTCGGGCTGGAGCTCTGGGCTCGATGTGCGCTTACAACCAGGCGCCTGGGGCTGGAGAATGGCAGACGCTTGGGTGCTCCGCGTTTCACCTTTTTGCGTCTTTCGTCCCTCGAAGGTCAACGGCATTCCCTCCTGCGCCAGCAGCGAGCTGCTTCGAAGCAAGCTTCGAGAAGAATGGGGATTTCGCACCTGGGCACATTGGCTGGTGAATGCAATCGCTACACCCTGTCGCATCTTGCTTGCTGCTGTGTTCCGTGATGACGAGGTGGCATGATTGTCACAGATTGCGACTCCATTGCAGTGGCTTGGTATTGGTGATCAGCTGTTGGTAGCCAGGCAATGTCTCGACTCTTACTTGGAATGCTCAATCGGAGGACATGTATTCTTTGCAACAGTACCGCGACACCCCGGCCGAGAACATTGAAGCCGCTTTAGCGGCTGGCACCGATGTGGCCTGCAGCCCAGGCCTTTGAAGCGACCTTGCGACTTCAGCGGTGCATTTCGGTTTGTGCTTTATGTGCAGGCTTCTTCCGAGACTATGCCAATGCATCCATGGAGCCGCTTCTGACGGAGGCAGTCAAGAATGCACTTCGGGTTCGTTTCATCCTCGGCGAGTGACCTGGCGAGATGAGCTCGAGCTGACTCGATCTTCCTGTCTGTGTCTGAGCGTCTCTGCACCAAACTAGGTTTGACCCACCGCCTGCTGACATCCCGGACAGCTGGCAGAAGGCATTTCTGTCTTGCGACGGTCTTGCGACGACTCCGCTGAGAGATCGGAGCTTGCAGGCCTCGGCCGGACATGTGGAGCTAGCGTGGCTTGGATGAAAATGGCCCCCTGCTCTCTGCTCGGATCCCATCTCCCGCGTGAGGATGGAGGCTGCCCTCCAAGGGGCTGTGCTGCTGAAGAACGAGGGCCATATGTTCCCTGGCTGGGCAGGTGCTGCAAGACTTGGGGAAGCCCTAACAGTCTCTTGTCAAGGCTGCCACTCTCCGTGGAACAGCGGGTTGCTGTTCTCGGCCCTCTGCGAAATGCCACACGGAGCATTCTTGGCAATTATGAGGCAGGGCCTATGGGGCCTAGGGGGCGCCTAGAGGGCGCAAGCAAGGGCTCAGGCTGCGCTGCCTGCGCTGCGAGGCTTGGCCGGTTCCCGTCGTGACTCCCCTGGCCGGCCTCAAGATGCTTGACTGAGAGCTTGGGCTTTCCATGAAAGCTGAGGGAGCTTTGCATGGCTTTGCGTGGCTTTGCAGTTGTTGTCCTTTTGAGGAAGTTCGGTCGCCATGTGGAGGCTCCCGGCCCCGAGGCTGGCATATTTTTCCTTCCGTGCCAATTCTCGGCTGTGCTCTGTTCTCGCGGATGTTGATGATGCCGGTTCAGGGGGTCTTAATTCCATCACCACGATCAGAATCACCTTCACACACACACACACCATCACTCATCATCATCATCATCATCATCATCGTCATCATCATCATCATCAGCATCAGCATCAGCATCAGCATCAGCATCAGCATCACCATCATCATAATCATCATAATCATCATCGTCGTCCTCCTCATCATCACCACCAGCATCACCATCATAATGGTCATAATCATCATCGTCCTTATCATCGGCGTCCTCCTCCTACTCCTCATCATCATCATCATCCTCATCATGATCGTCACATGGGTTATCATCAGTATGAAATGTGCTCCTGCGCATGGTTCTCAAGAAGTGCATTAATCCCTCGCCCACCGCAACCGAGCATCCTGAAGACGCAGTAGTGGCTGCAAGCTCAGTCGCTTGCATGTATTGGCCGAGAACCTGCCACAACCTTCACGGCGATAGGCAGCGCGAAGCATGGCTTCATCCTGTAGTTTCTGCTGAGTTCTGCCCTGCCATCGGGCAGGGCTCCAAAGAGGCAGACCAGTAGACTTTGAGTCTAAACACATCACAATCGATTTCCTGGCCCTGGGCGGCACTGAAACTGCACCGAACACGGGGCTGCGAAATGATACTGCCGGAGGTTGCAGGCACTAATCGCTGGATGTTGCCACAGGTTGACATTTGTGGCACGGCAGGAAGCTCGATGCCACTTGGATGCCCTGTGAATTGGCCGTTTTGAATGGCACGCAGGTCAGCTCAGCTGAGGCCAGAGAAGCCTGACGCAGAGGCCCACCTGTAACTGTATCGATGTGCCGATTTGCAGACATCTGTGCTTTTCGATGTAGGATCTGACAGCATTGTGGGAACATGATGAGCAAGATGCTTCATTCAGGTGGTGGTCGTGGTGGCTGGGTTGACGGCAGACGATTTGGAGGTGAGGTCGTAAGGTTTGATTGCCTGGGGCTGTGATCACCGGGATCGCTGGAGGTCCAGGATCCGGATCTCCGGCCGGTGCAATCCGAGTTCTGCAAAGCAGGCAGGGGGCTTGAATGGGCGTGGGCTTCGGCTGAGACACGCGGAGTCGCCAGGTTGCCTGGAGACGGAGGGCTGCGACCGACCCAACATCTCATGGCCCCGCTCACAGGCGGACCTCATTGCCACGGCAGTGCCTGGTCGGAGTCGGCATGTTTGTCGTGCTGGCAATTGGTAAGGTGAGTAAAGTAAAGGCTCCTTGGGTCGTCTTCTCCCCCTAATGCAGCTGATGTCATCCAAACGGGGAGGCACCAGAACCCCATGGAAGGCACGAGGCGGTCGGGTTTCGTACAGGTGGTCTTGCAGGACTTTGGCTGCAGGTGCTTGAGGCTTGTTTTCCTACCGTCGGTTTGTTTGGCTCTTTCTGACAAGTGTCTGCTAGGCCGAGAAATCAGACTCGAGTCAGAGAATTGACATTGAGTCAAAACCGCTGAGCGCCCAACTGACAAAGCAGCCGAGTTCGAGTGTGAAGAGGAAAGGCACCGAATGATGAACACCTAGTTGGGTCCGGCTTGCGGGTCCAGGGACCCATGACCGAGTCCTTACACGGCAACGTGATACTTCGGCCGCCTATGGCCGCCTTCTTGGACTCACTGCTTAGGGGGGGGGGCGGTTAGGCTGTCGGGGGAAACCATGGTTGAGCCTTGCTTTCATCTGTGATGAACGACAATACCAATTGGATGGACCTGCAACGATGCATGGGGTGCAAACAGTTCGAAGAAGGAAACGAGCGCAAGATTTCATAACCGCCAATGATGGAGATTTTGTACAATCGTTTGTTTCCGCAGCACTCTCTGTGAGAAGGCTGTCGCGTGTTTTTGCTTTCGGTTGGACGGCACTCCAGCAGCCACAGCATCAATCGCACAGGAATGGCCTTGAACTAATACCGGATAGGTTGGCAGTGTCGGGACAGTCTTGAGAGCAAGTCTCGAATGCTAAAGGCAACCTGGGGTATCCCAGTCGTTCTGGTGGTGATCAGTGGTGGCCCGGTGGACTTGGCTGACTATGCCCAGATGGACGGCATCCACTCCATTTTATGGCTGGGCTGCTAGTGCCAACTTTTCATGTTCTTTTGTCTGGAGCACGTGTTCATGAATGCCGCACAGCACGGATATATTTGCCTCTAGCCGCTGACCATCCGAGGCTACTCGGGGGAAGCTGCTGGCGAAGCTCTGGGGAGGCCCTCCGCAACCGTTCTTCGTCAAAGCACCTCAAATCCCAGTGTCGTTCATTCAGGCTTGTCTACGGACTGGCGTCTCCAAGCGGACGCCTTTCCCAGACCTTCTATCGAGCCTTAGCTGGAGTTGCATCCAGACCTAAAGGCTACAACGTGCTTGGTTCTAGTTCTGAGCACAGACCGTCTTCGGCTTACACTTTTTCTTGTTGAGCGTCGCCGAGGCAAGGAGTACACTGCCCATGTGGCCATGCAAGACTACAGCTTTCGTCCTCGGACGGAGGATGGCTATCCAGGGAGAGGCTATCGCTTCGTATCAGACAGATGGATAGTATACCCCTTCGGTCATGGCCTGTCATTTGACAGCTTCAGTTTCGACTGGTTGGCCGACCATGCTTTTGCGGGCAGGTGCCAAGTTGGCGTTCGTGTTCAGCCCTTGTACAGCGAGGCTTTAAAGACGCGTTCGAGCTCAACTTCCGTGCTGCTCTTTTTGGTACCCCCTTCGGGCAAGTCTGGACTCCTGAAGAAGCTTGTAGACTTCCAGAAGGTGGAGTTTCCCCCAGCGCAGTCTCAGGAGGATAGGTGGAAAGACCTCTACTTCGAGCTGAGCCCAAGTGACATCGAGCTCGTGGATGAAGCAGGTGCTTCTTCCGTGGCAGGGGGAACCTGGACACTGCAGGTAAACGAACCTCCAGAGCTGAGGCGCGAGCTTCTGCTTCCAGGCTGTTTCGCTCCTTCCGAATCTCCCTCGTCCAAATTCCTGGCAAAGAGGGTTTTCCTGCCGTAGTGTCAAGACACGTCAGACAGGCTGATGGCTAATTACTAGCAAGTCCAAGGGGGGCCCTGTGTGGCATTCTCTTCACACGCCGTGCCAGATGAGCACGGCCAAGTCTTTGGACGGTTTAAGATATCAAGTTTTGATCTGTGTGGCTCCATGCCACCAGCCTTCGAATTGCCCGGCAACCCCAATTATCTATCCGGGCGAGCGGGGGAAGCTAGCACTCCCAAGGAGGGGCTTCGTCACGCGAGCTTGCATAGGGTAGCATGCCGTGGTAGGTTTCTTTTTTTGTCGCGTTCATTCAGTTTTTGTGACCCTTTGCTTCGCGATGGCCTTCCCCCGATGCACGTTCTCTGGTGCACAGTCGGGCCTGTTCTTGGCCCCGCACATGGGACTATAAGGAGCACTCGCATTGAGTAAAGCTCCTACAAGCTCCCTGCATGAGTTGTTGTTTTCTCAAAGAGGCAAGGACCTTAAGCTATTGTGTTCCTGTGCAAGAAGAGCTTCAAAGTTCTGGCGAGCCCCGGCCGGCTTCCGTAACGCAGCACGCTGATGGCCCCGAATCTGAGGTACCCAGCCAAGGTTCCACCTGTGGAAGCGAGGGAGGCGGACATCGATGGTGCGAGCCTCAAGCTGCGACTGTGCAGTTGTTTGGGTTTACCACAGTTCTCGTTCACCGAGGCTGGACGTTCTTTGCTAGGTTCTCTGGCGCCTTGTGGGAGACTTTCATTGATGCCTCGGGCTCACTGTTTCTCCGAATTTCATGGAAGTGGCGTGGTCTGTGTTCTTCCTGCAAGGTCGCGACTTCGCGTGGTCCTCGCGAACAAAAAGGGCTGCGAACCAAGTGTAACCCATGTGATGTGGCGATGGAGGCTCGAGACTCATGCTTCCAAGGTGGGAATACCGCAAAGGAATCGAAGGCCCTGGAAGGGTACATTATGAGGAACTACCGGAAGTACTGGGGTCTGCGACGGATGCACAACCTTTCCAGACGGAAGTGCACAGTAGCAGAGATGCAGCAAAACCCCAACAATGGCAAGGCATGTCCATGGGAAGCATGGCCTTTGAAATGATGACGACGCAGGGAGCCAAGAGTGCGAAGCACCATGCGCAGAGGTTGAGTAAGATTCTGACAGAGGTCTCCATTGCATGTCTGAGGTCTGAGGACACGGAGGAGTTTAAGGAGTTGTCCAAGGAGTACCAGTCTGGCTATGGAGTAAAGAACCTAGCAATGCAAGACAAGCAGCATAAAGTGTCGTCTGTGCTTATTCTCCACCACAAGGTGCCTTTCCTCAATCTCTCCTTCCGCAAGATTACCGCTGCCACGAGAGACGTTTGCTCCCCCCAGGGTCAAGTGCCGCATGTTGTATGTTTGTCTACCAAGTGAGCCTAATCCCTTCAGGGCTGGGAATCCCTTGGCCAGCAAAGGCGAGTCTTCGTCCATGAAATGCGCATGCTGTCTGGCTCAGTTCGCATGGCCCGTTGCAAGCTTGGGGTATCTGGGGTCCTTTGCGAGCTCGCATCTGTTGCCTTCGCAACCGGCAGCATGCCCAGACCAAGAGGGTACGAGAGCACGGAAGGGGGGGGGGAATCTCTCGAGCTGACAGGGCTACAGTAAAGTTGCAACGGTCCCGAGAGCTCCAGGTGCAAGGCCGGATGGACGTCTCTGCCCAGGTCAGGGCAGCAAATGATGGCTTTTCAAGGGGCAAGTGACCAAAGAAACCAAGACACCTCCCGAGGAGTTCCATCCGGAGTTGGGGTCTTAGGAGCTCAAGTGCAACAGCATCGCTGCAGCTCATCCATACCGATGCATCGGGGAGTGTCCTTTCTCAAGCTTGCCTGGTGATTGTAGCGACAGCTACTTGCCTGGCAATGGTTGCGACAGTTTGCAGCTGTTGGGCCACAAGCAGTCAGTGCCCGACCTAGCTCGTGCGCAAATCGCGACAGACCCGAACAGCTTTCGGTGCTCAGATGAAGGGATCAATCCTGAATGACTATCTCAAATAAGTTCGATCGGGTCATCATGCCGTTGCTGCTGCCATGGCTGGAGGTGACGACAGTCAAAGTCTCGATGCTTTGGAGCAAAGGCTCATAGCCCTAAAAGCAGACGTCGCCAACCAGCGGATACCCAAGCTTGCAGCGGAGGATGAAGGAACCAAAATCCTTCTAGCGGCCGACAACTTGCAGTTGCAAGGAGATGGTCGTGGCCGAAGAAGACGGTTGGTTCAAGAGATCAGTTTACTACTGGATCCGCCCGAGGAAGTTTCGGCAGCTCTCGTGAGCACGACAAGAACAGAACCGTCTTGTGCTGGCAGAAGTTCGGCGGTGATTGACGATTTGCTGTCTGCAGCGGGGCATCTGCTGGCAGAGATGCACTGGTTGTGCCGACTCACTCAAGAGGCCATCGCCAGCCAGGAGGCAACGGGTGTCTCCTGCAGCTACTACAGTGGCTAATTAGGTTATTGACTGCAGGACCGTGCAGCTGTTGCAGAGCTGAAATCTTGGTGGCAGGACGCGTATCTCTTCTCCGTCATCCCGCGGCTGCCAGATCTGGAGGAGGTGGGATGGTTCTGTTGATCCAGCAGGGGCCTGGTGGTCGTCGGTTCCAATCTGGGAGGCGTGTGCAGGATCCAAGGAGCACGTTGTTGGTTCGTCTAAGGGCCTCGGGTCGGGCAGTCTCGTTCCTTCCTGCTCCTTTGCCGCCGGATAATGCTTTCATCTCGAGTTTTTTTCGTAAGCTTGCTTGTCATGCCTATCAGACGAAATCGAGGACTCCAGTGTTCATGTCTTTGTCGCAGGTGCAACTTGTGCGCAAGCTGCGGTCATGGGCATCATCGCCCCCTCCTTCACATGCCCGAGAATGCCAAATGGTGGTGAAAAGAATTGACGATCTGAGTAAAGAGGTGCAAGCCGCCCTGGAGGCGTTGAGCCAGCCAGCGGAGTCGTATGCTTTCTGTCAGAAAGCTTGTGCGGTTTACTCCGACCTGCTCTCGTGCATGGAAGCGGAAGCCCGGGGAACAGAGCTTAAGGAGTCTTATCTGGAGCTGTTGCAGCGGCTTCAAGCCGAGCGCCAGGAGGTGAAGAAAGACATCGCGTTTGCGAAGGAACGTCTGAAATCTTTGCGAGCACGGTATAGAATCCTCCGTTGCCTTGCACCCTCTCGGGAAGAGGCACAGCAGATGAACGCAAGAGAGCTTAGACTATGTCTGCACATTCACAAGGTGCCCCAGCTCAGTGGACTAATGGACAAGCAGGACATCATAGAAGCGCTCGTGAGTTCTGGGGTCATTCTGGCATAAAGCTTGTCCCTGGCGAATCCAAGTGAGTCTTTTTATGCTGCTTGTCTGGATGTGTCCAGAGCATGGCTGTTTCACCGCTCCGGGTGCCCAAAAGTCTGATGAACAAGTCTGGATAGAGGAGGGCATCTCACGGCACCAAGGTCCAGCTGCCACCCGTACATGATGCAGCCCCAGGTGGCTGGAACTGCATATGAGATCCATCCGGCTTGGGTTGAGCCTCGGTGGTGTTGAGGGAAATCTGAAGAGAGCAGGTGATTGGCATGTTTGACATGGCGCCGGAGACCCACCGAATTTGTGCTTGACAGCGAAACCTTGCATGCCGCGACGGAGAGTTTCGCATCAGCTCGCTAAGGACATTGCAGATGCTAGATGCATCCAAATGGGGTACACCTGTATTCTGGCAGCAATCAATAGCTTCCGTAAGCCTCATGGGCCTTGCGAGCCCGCCGAATGCAGCTCAAACTGCCCAGGTAATGCTGGCCAGTCCGATGAGTGGCAACCTCAAGCAAAGACAGCTACCTCAGGATTCAGCATGCTTTTTCACCAGCCGCCTGCAACTCCAAATTGCTCTGGGAATCCAGACAGTACTTGCCCTTGCTGCAGCCTGTTTAAGCTCAAACTCCATCTTGTAACGCAGATTGCAAAATTGTCACCTGGCCTCTTGGCTGCAGCATTTGTGCATTATGATGCACACACACACACACATCTCTCTCTCTCTCTCTCTCTCTCTCTCTCTCTTTCTGTCTGTATATATATATATAT